AAAAAAAAAAAGAAGACCAGAACAAGCTTTGTTGAAAATATGGGGAAATAAGAACCATCATACACGATTTGTGGGAGCATAAAATATGATCAACACTTGGGAAAACATTTTGGCAGGTCCTCAAAGAGAAAAAAAAACGACTAAAAGAAGAATGACCAGATGCATATACTAGTTATTCCACTCCTCAGTATATACCCAAGACAAATTAAAATGTATACGTGCATGTTCACAGAAGCATTATTTGTAATTACAAAAAGGTAGAAACAACTCAAATGTCCATACACTGATGAATGGGTAGACAGAGTGTATATCCTGAAATATCAATTGATGACCCAAATGAAGTGCAGACACATGGTACGACTTGGATGAACCTTGAGAACATGCTAATACACAAAAACCGCATGCTGGGGATTCCAGTTACTTAAAATGCCCAGCATAAGAAAAGTCACAGACAGAGAGACGGATGGTTGCCAGGGGCTGGGGGGATTGGGAGAGGTGGGGGCAGGAACTGCTTAATTGATGCTGGTCTCTTTGGTGGGTCATAAAATGCCCTGAGATTAAGACTGTGTTGATGGCTGCACAACCTTACGAAAACACTACAGGACCCTGAACCCGCACACTTTAAAACAGTGAATTTTATAGTGTGTGAGTCATATCTTCATTTGAAGAATCTATAGGGGCTCATGGTGGTTCAGTGGTAGAATTCTCACCTTCCACATGCAAAGCCTGGGTTTGACTCTCAGCCAGTGAACCTCAGTGAAGCCTTGCAGGCTGCCATGATGTTGGACAGTTCTCAGTAGAGCTAGACTTAGAGCAGACAGCCTCATCTCTCTCCCAAGGAGTGGCCGGTGGGTTTGAACTGCCAACCTTGAGGTTAACAGCTCAACACTCACCCACTACTATGTCATATGTTAACAGTCTACATATAGAATAGCCATGTCCTATTCCACATATGAAATGCTATGTGACTTTAAGTAGGAGAAAATACTCCTACTTAAGAGTGGTAACACAGACATGTCAACAAATTCAAATACCCCATGGGAAAAAATGCTAAACCACAAAATTTTAAAATCTATTTATATTGTTTCTTGAAGTCCTCCACTTAAATCAGATGTGGGCAACACTAAGTAGCTAAACATTTAAATAAACATTTCAGAGGAACCCAAAGGGTTTCTCGCCAGCTGTCATCTGCACACGCGTCAGCTTCTGAGTCTGAATGGCTCCTTGTCTGTCGTGAGAGCGTTTGTTGTTTGAGGGGAAGCAGGATAAATGGGTGCTCTGTGGCCGCGGTGGCGTCTGCGAGCGTGGACACTAAGAACCTGTCACCGTTGGAGGCTGAGAATGTTCTCTCATATAAACACTGAGAATACAACTGAGAATACAAGTGCACAGCATTCCTAGGACCGGACTGGCTGGCTCTCGGGGGTACCTCCCAATGATCATTTAATACATCTCAGAACCCACACCCGGAGGAGTCCCGGAGGCCCAGTGGGTGCCATGCTGCGCCACTAACTGCAGTGCGAGTAGTCCTGCTCCAGGAGCTGCTCCACAGGAGGAAGCTGCGTCCTTCTGCTCCTGTCACGCTTCACGGCCTCAGGAATCAACAGGGGGCAGTTCCATCTGTCCCAAAAGGTCATTATCAGTTGGAATTGACTGGATGGTGGTGAGTTTTGTTGGTACGAATCCATCTGTGTTAGACAGGGTTCTCTAGAGACTAATCATACTGGAAAGCCAATTTAAGAAGCCCATATTTATGATTTTATTTCTATAGAAGCACTCCTGGTACCAAAATGTGTTAGACAGGGTTCTCTAGAGAGATAAAACCAAATTGCTGATAATTTAATATATTTATTTATAAATATAAGTAGATATATAATGAGAAATGAACTGTTAAATCATATACAGATAAATATATAATACAAGAAATAAACAGTTAAATAAGAAAGCACTACAAATGGCTCAGGGCAACTCACGTCCGTGAGAGAAAGTTGAGAGACTAGCAGTCCTTCTAGTCTAGTCTGATGGCAGATCTTCCTCTATTTGTAGAGAGAGCTAAGCTATGTCAGCACAGCAGCCAATCACAAGGCAGGTCACCAACCGCTAGCCCCCGGCTCCAGAGAAGTCCTAAAGGGACCTCAACTCACAGCAACACAGTCCACAGGCTAGGCGTCCCACAGTTAGTGTAGCCTTTAAATTGAGGCACAGAACAAGCAAGGCAGCCGCACACTGGTCCGATGATCACAGAGCGAGAGACAAGAAAGGCAAAGCTCACCAAGCCATTTATCTCTCTGCCCTTCAGTTAATCCCACTTGTGTTTATCAGTCAGGCTGGCACAATAAACTATCTCACCATCCTAGGTAGGAGGCACCACAATTCTCTTATGCCAAGGAAAACAGAGGTGCCCTAAACACAGAGATGGCATTTTGATGGGTAAGGTTCACTGCACCCAAGCCTTGGTCTTTTCCATTGGCTCATCTGCCCATGACAGGTGGACAATAAAAAGGGACAAAGAAGAAGCAGCTGAACTGGGGTGTTGGCCCAGAATATTGACCATACTGTCGGTTGCCAGAACAACCACCGAATGAGTCTTAAAGGGAATACGCGCAGAATACTCCTGCGTAACCTTTGTCTTGTTTACTGGGAACACATCATCAGGGAAGAGCTATCAGGACAAAGGACATCCTGGTCGGTAAAGTACAGAGACCAACATACAGGAAGGAAACCTTCAATGAGATGATTGGCTTAGTCTCATGGCCACAAACAAGCTGGTAGCAAGGAAGCTGCTGCAAGTCCAAACAGGCCACATTACATGCTGGGATCCAGAAGGTCGCCACGAGTTAGCCAACTCCAAGCAGTGAACAAGAACAACAGTCACCAGTGAGTGTAAGGGAGCGGGCTGGCACTGCAGCACGGCGATAAGAGGATCTGCCAGGTAACCAGGTCTCGTTTGGTGGTAAGGAGCTCTATGCCAGTTCTCTGCATACTGCCATCCCCTTATATTCATTTCCACACTCGGCAGAGGATGGATTCATTTGAATGCCGGTGCCGGTGGAGAATGTTAGAAGCACTGCGGACCACCAGAAAAGCAAACAAATCTATCTCGGGAGAAATACAGCCACAAGGCTTCTGAGAAGCGAGGACGGTGAGACTTCAGCACACATACCTTGGACAGGTTATCAGGGGAGACTAATCCCTGCACAAGGACACCAGGCTTGGTGATCATTCCCCGGAGAGGGAATGACACAGTGGCTGTAGCAAGGGCTCAAACACAACGCCGATTGTGAGGCTGGCCCAGGACAGGCAGTGCTTTGCCTCTCTGCAGGAGGCTCTTCTGAAATTGTTCCTAGAAGGGAGGACTGGTCACCGCTTCGTGCGAAGTCAGTGCTTCCCCTGGCCCTGTGGAAACTGTTCTTAGGATGCAGGGCCTTCTAGAGAACATCTCCCTGGCCTGTGTCCCCTGAGGGAAGGCATGGGGCCAGGACTCCCACCTGTCACGTTAAAAACAAGCAAAACACTTTTGCTGTTTAGGAAATCCTGACTGGCACTACCGGGACCAAGCCAGAGTAGAACGGCTCAGTGTTTTCACGGCGGAGACCTTTGGCAGGTCTTCCGCTTTTCAGTTAGCACCCAGGGCCGCTTACCTCAACAATGTTTCCAAACCCTATTTATGGCTTTGCTTGACTAACTGGTAAGCGAGAAGGCAAGGGGGCAATTTTACCGCCATCTGCGACACAGGAAGCGAAGTGCTCAGGTTATATAACAAAGGTAAAAATCCTGCATCACCAGTAAACAATGACGAATTAAGGTGAAAGAACATCACAGTCCCAGATTCCAACCTCAACTGTACATTTTGTTTCTTGAGGTTAAGTCTGCCTTTTACCAACCTCCCAACTATCCATTTTACTCTAGGTTTGTGTGTTGGTTGGTTTGTTTCTCATGTCTTCTATAAGGCATGCAGAACGCGGGGCAACTTTGTCCTTCTTCTAAAAGAAATCCGAAGTTAAGATGAAATCTGGCCCAGGGTACTGAATCTGCAGGGAACAAAAATGGCTCAGAGAAGAGTACAGTATAGCCACTTACCCCGTAGAACAGCCCGAAGTACGGAGAGATGTCAGGCTTGAACACGCTGATGAGGGACAAGAGCTCATCTTTGTAGCCCCAGAGCAAGTCATGGACGGTGTGCGTCACAAACATCTTCTGCTCATAGGCCTTCATCATGGCCTCGATGATCCCCCGGAGGAAGCGGTTCTGGGCCCATTCCATGGCCGTCTGAGGAACAAAGGAGAACTCAACAGGGTCTCCCCCAACGCCCCCCACTCGCGTCTACTTGGCAGCATTGGGGGCCGGCAACCTGAAGTGCTGAGATTCAAGGTGGAAAACGAGCTAGCAAGCTTCTTTCTGTTGGCACAGCCTGGGGGAAAGGAAGACCTCCTGCTGTCTGTTCTCAGCTTAGGGCAACCTTGGCACCTGCTATCACAAGCTCCGAGTGATGCTGCTGCGTAGTTGCTGTTGACTTGTGGAGGTGCCCTGTGTGCAGAGAGGAACTGCTGTATAGAGTTTTCAGGGCTGTGAGCTTTCAGAAGCAGATAGGCCTGTCTTCCCAGGCCACTCTGGGTGGGCTTTGAGCTGCCAAACTATGGGCTGGTAGTTAAGTGTTCATGGCACCTAAGGAGCTCATATATTATAAACCCACTGCTGCCGAGTCACATGTCTATCAACTCATAGCTACAGTGACCTCTAGAGCAGCGAGTCTCAACCTGGGGGTCAACGATCCTTTCACAGGGGGTAGCCTAATTCATAACAGTAGCAAAATTACAGTTAAGAAGTAGCAATGAAAATAATTTTATGGTTGGGGGGTCACCACAACATGAGGACCTGTATGAAAGGGTGGCGGCATGAGGAAGGTTGAGAACCACTGCTCTAGAGCAAAGCAGAAGTGCTCCCCAGGGCTTCTGAAACTTGGACTCTTTACAGGAGCAGACAGCATCAGCTTTCTCCCTCCGAGTGGCTGGTGGGCGCCAACTACTGACTCCAAGGCTTCAGCAACCCATGAGAGCTCCCCTTAGGCTACCATATAATGGGGGCAACACTCGTGACTACATTGACTTCTTTGGCCACAAGGAGGCGCCATGTTCCTCCTGAGCAGGGCTCACTGCCATGAAGTCCATACTGACTCACGATGGTGTAGTAGTTAAGCTTTGGGACTGTGATCCTCAAAATCCGAAGTTCAAAATCACCAGCCGCTCCTCTGGATTTCTACTCCCATAAAGAGTTACAGTCTCAGAGACGCACAGTGGCAGTTCTATCCTGTCCTATACGGTTGTGAGGCAGACTAGCACTAGCCATCTGTTGACTGCTGAATGACCTGCCTCCTTCCCACTCCCGTCTCGGCAAGCCCCACGAGTGATTGATTTTAGAATGTACTCTTATGTTCTCAAGATCAGATCATTGTAATTAATAATAGTTTCTTTTGATGTTGTAACCAGGATATTACTATTCCTATTTTATTAACCAGATGTTATAATCAATGCTATACCCTGTAACGCTCACTAACTCTAAAGAATAATAATGTTAATCTTGCTTTCTGCTTCTGTTCACACCTGCTTAAGTTCTAGACAAGTGATAAATGAGCTTTTGCCTTTAAAGATGTGTGGGATATAAAAAGACTTTTCCCCAGCTTTGTCTTCCCCAAAGATATGCCAAACCCTAGAGGCTGTTTGCCAGCACATAGTGGGAGGTCAGATGCTTAGAGATATTCTCCCTGTAGGCATTCAGCCATCAGACTGGTCCAATGTAGGCGGAGCTCACACCCTATTGATAAGGTTAGTAATTGTTTCCATAGAGAGCCAGAGAAGTGTTAAAACCTGCTCAGTGACATCCAAAATTAGGCTGCCATCCTGAATCTAGATCCAGGAATCTTGTCACATGTGTACCCTCAATCCCTCCCCTTCCTATTGCGTGTATACCCCTAGCTCATTCCCCTCTCATTACTGTATTGCCTATAGCACAACCCCTTCCTGTGACCTATGTCTTTACCTGTGATCAGGAGGCTTGCACGCCCCTAAAAGTTATATAAGCCTTGGTTAGTAATAAATCTCTCTCTCTCCCCTGGTCCTCTCTCCCCCAGGCACCCTCTCCCCTGTCCCTTCTCTCCCTGTCCTCTCTTTCCTGTCTGCCTGCCATTCCCACCTTCCGGATTCTCCCGTGGACCCCCAGGCAGGGCTGAGGTGAGCATGCTTCCATGAAATGTGTCTGACTCCATTACTTCACTCTCTCTCCTATCTCTCATTCTCTATGACTTTACTATCATCTTTACATATTATCGCTGTACGATTGCGCTGCTGGGCCTGTGATGATTTGCTAGGGGCTGGCTCCCCTGACAGAGATGGACTGAAATGTCCACTCGGAACTGCAATGTAGGAGTCACTTTTAGATTCTCGCAAGTCACTTAAGAATTGGGGTGGGAATCTCTGAGAGGGCTGGCTGAGATGAATGTAGCTCAGGTGCACAGTGTAGATGATATTAGTAGATGATTGGTCATTCTAAACAGAGCCCAATTAAGTCACAGTAGGCTGTAGTCCACAGGCCAGTCTCTGGAAAGGGTCAGTCTTTGGAAATGGAACAACAACAACAACAAAATCAAAATATTTGACATTTCATAATCCAAGATAAAAATCTGCACTAGGGTGTAACACGAAAATTACATTTCTAGAGTTTCTAGACCACATAAGTATTTTTAAAGGATTACGTTGTTGTGGTTATTAGTTGCTGGCAAGTCAATTCCAACTCATGGACCCAATGGCAGGCCCGGTGGGTGGAGAGTCGAGCTGCTCGTCCAGAAGCACATCACCACCATGCCTGCCTTCTGAGATGCCCTGGGGTAAGTGGGAACCAGTGCCTTTGGGGCTAGGAGCTGAGCACCAAAGCAGCTGTGCCACCACAGCTAGGAAACCCTAGGGCCCTATTGACTGGCACAGTTGCTGCTCGCCAATACCCAGCAAGAGAATGAACACACACATCTGACATTTGCATCCTTCACTTTGGACAGGACCTTGGTGGTTAGAGCTCAGGGAGCCACGAGTCTAGAAAGAGAGAAAGGGAACGTGGTTTTTCTTATGTGTACATACATGTGCATATTTGAATATAACTAACTCCTAAGTGGAAAACCATGATTAACTCAGCTTTCCCTAAAACCTACCACAGTGATACTAAAATGCCGACTTACCACGACAGGGATATTTAACGTCCGAATCAAATCAGCCTTGGGGTCTCCGATGGAGAGCTCTCGTTCAAAAACATAGGCCTTGTTGCTAACAGCAGAGATGGTTGTTCCGTTGTCCCCAAACTGTATATTTGCTTTGTCTCTGAGCTCCCTAAAAGAAAGGGAAAGGCTTTGTTTGAAAATAGGTTCCATCGTGAGAAGCAAGACGTCCTTTCTTTAGCAGTACTGCTCCTGTAAAACAACCTCCCCAGGATAACCGTCCGCTCTCAAGTCATTGTAGTACAGCACTGCCAGCATAGTGGTTAGCTAGCCAGACTGCAGACACTGGCCCTTAAAACAGACACTGGGTGGGAAGGCAGTCAGGCCGAAGAGAGAGCCTCATTACAAACTGCTGCCTGCCTGCCTTCTCTGTAGGATTCAGGAAGCGCCTCCCACGAGGGCTGTCGTGAGCAAGGAAGCACACATTAGTGAGTTCGCTCCTGGGTTATGTTTGGCGCTAAGATATTTCTCTCTGTTTCAGCTCAGATTATAGATTTTGTTTGGATTTCAGTTTGCTTATCAATATCTCCTTTTATCCCCCACTTGAATTCTTTGGAAAATTCATTATAGAAATGCAAGATATGGCCAATTTGTAGAGTTCATTCCTTTTCTCCTTGTCTTTCATTTTATTTTTTGACTGTGTGGTAAAAATATAAAACTCAATTTTCCATCAAATTCCAACTTTTTAAGTGTATAATTCATTGGCATTAATTATATTCATAACATTATACTATTCAATTCTAGCACTTTGTCATCATCCCAAACAGAGATTCTATATCCATTAAGTATTAAAGCCCCATCTTGCCCTCCCACAGGGCCCATAATTAGCACTTATCTATTGCCTGTCACTATGCCTATTTGGGAGCCCCTGGGCGGTGCAAACAGTTAAGCGCTCATCTACTAGCAAAAGGTCAGCAGCTCGAAGCCACCCAGAGGCACTCGGCAGACACACACCACTAAAAGGTCACACAGCATGGAAAGCCCTGGAAAGTTCCACGCTGCTGCAGGGAAGTGCCTTGCTTCCTATGTTTCTCCCATCTACAGATTGTAACTTCCACCCAGTGACGGGCTGGGAGGGAGGGGGATGTCAATAGGGTATAGAGGAGTCTAACTTGGGGATTGGTCCATTTTGACATGCTTCTGAGCATAAGTCAACAATCTTAGAAGCAGGAAGGTGGAAAAATAGGCCATGATCAGAGTGTCGTGGGAGGGAATAGGGTAAAGAATAATATCATAATAAGGGCTGGGTGGGGGGAGGGGGGAGGGGATATAGGAGAGGTGATTTCAAAGAGTTCAAGAAGAAAGAAAATGTTTTGAAAAGGATGGTGGCAGCAATTGTACAATTATGCTTGGTCTAATTGCATTATGGGCTGTGATAAAATCGGTCAGAGATCCCAATAAAATGATTTTCTTTTACAAAAGAGAAGGGTGGAGGCGGGTCTGACCTATGCCTTGTGGCAGCGTAGAATTGGAGTCTCCTTCTGTCTGTGGAAGCCAGAGGTCAGACGTGGCCCCCGTGCCACTTCTTCATTTGTACACATGGTTGAAGCACCAACAGCATGTGCACATGCTTCCCACAACAACAAACTCTACATAATTATGGGAAAGAACAAAAGGACATGGTCTTCTAAGTCAGCGGGGAGGAGTACGTAAAATGTCTGAGTACCATTAAAACAATTACATACTTTGGAGTTTGAAGGCATGAGTCAAAATATAGGCACAATGACAACGAACAACACCATATACTGTTAGCTAGTTCAAGTACGTGGGATTGCTTGTCCTTTTGTGCCTGCCTTATTTCAATGAGCATCATGTTTTTAAGGGTCATCCATAAAAGATCACATATCAGGACTTCATTCTTTTCTGACTGAATAATATTCCACTGCCTGTATACACCACAGCGGGCTCATTCATCGCCCTGCTGATGGACAGTTGGGCTCTTTCTGTTGTTCGGTTTTTGTGAATGAACATGGGTATGCAAGTTTAGTTTCTGCTTTCAATTCAGTTGAATGGGATTAATGAGAAGAATGTTGATGTACTGTTTTGTTCTTTTCTTTAATGTAGCCAATGTCACTGAATAATTTGTGAACTAACTGATAAACAGGAACCTCATTTGCGGT